GGCGAGCCCCGGGTCCCAAGGCGCGTCTTGTCCAGGACGTCCCTGGGGGCGGACGAGATGTTGGCTGTCGGCAGGGGCAGCAGCAGGGCTGCAGCCTGGCCCCTATCAGCTGGGGCGCTCCCCGGACCCTAGGCAGGTCCCGAGTGGGATTGGGGGGTGTGTCCTACCGGCTCCCACAGATCCAGACCGCTGGAACCTGCACCCCACGCCTGGTCGGGACCCGCTTCTACCCCGGGGCGGGGATCTCCGGACCCGGAGCCCCAGTCCAGGGACACAGGGCTCCGCGGCTCGTCCCCGCCACTCTCAGGGGCACAGGCCTCCAGACAGCAGACCCACCCCTCACACCTGGGCCGGGCTCTGCCAGCTGAGGCCACAAAGACTGTGTCCAGGAAGGATGCACAGTCACCCAAGCACTTTGGGTTTGGGGTGCTGCCTGGCCGCTGCTCACCACTGTACCCCCAGAGCACAGCCCTGTCGCCACACTGACGCAGCCTCTACAGCCCTTCCCCCAACACCCCCGCCCCTCAGGAAACTTCCTGCGGAGGAGGGTGGCCTGCTAGCAGAGGGGGTAAGCTTGGTTCACCTGTGGGGCTGCCCCCCTAGAGAGGGGGCCATGGGATTGGGGTTCTAGGACCACCTGCCTGGGCAGGCCTGTGGCCGTGGGTGGGAGGCCCGCTCACAGGCTGTGTGTTGTTCCCACATATCTCAGGGAAGCCCTGAAACACAACATGAGGGAATCCCTCTCCTCAGTCCAGTGTGGTCACCCCGGGAAGCAGGGCCCCTCCGCTCTCAGACACCCGCCCACAGCCAGGCCCTGGGCCCAGGATCCTGCTGATGCTCCTCCCTTACCTGGCCCCTGGGTGGCCCCCACCATGCAGCCAGGGGCACCTGGAGCCCAAGGCAGTGGGATGGCAACTCCTGCCCTTCCTTGGTGGTGGAAGGCCCTCCCAGGCACACAGCCCTGCCCACTGGAGGCTGGCCTCCACCTGAGCCAGGTGCCCCTCCCTGCTTAGGCTCCTGCCCCCCCCCCATGGAGCACACCCCATCTTCCCATGGCCACTCTGCCCCTCCCTCCTCTGGCCTCCTGCTCACCGCTCACGCTGCTCCTCCCTGCCCTTGTCCGGCTCCCGGTCGTGGTTGGTCAGGGTGGAGACCCGATCTGCATCCAGAGGCTTGGGCCATGGGGGCAGCGTGGGGAAGGAGGGCGGGGCCCGGTGCAGCCGGCTCCAGGCCTCGTGGGGGCTGGGCAGGCTGTGCAGCGCCGAGGGGCCATGCAGCATGGAGCCCTCTTTGTGGGCAAAGACGCTGCCGGCTGCTGCAGGGAGGGCCGGGACATGAGGCTGAGCCTCTACAAACTGGGGGGCTTCGCCCAGGAGACCCGGTGGTGTGGGGTCCAGCCCATTCACCCTCATAAGCCTCCCACAGCCCCACTGGCCCTGTGAGGGGAGGGCACGTGTGTGGAGAGGACGTGCAGGGGGAGGAGGGCTTACTCATTGTGTGGCTGCCCAGGCCCCCGAAGGCGTTGTTCCCCAGGCCCCCGAAGGTGGTTGGTCTGCTGAATGGGTCTGCAGAGGTGGGAGAGGGGTCTGGGGCTCAGAGTCTCCATGGCCCAGAAGCACTCCCTCCCATGGCCCCTTACACACCAGCCCCCACTCCTGAGGCCTTGAGGGATGTCTTGGGACCTGGGGTCACCCTCCATCCCCAGCCTAGGTTTACTGAGGAAGCTGGTCAGGGCATCAGGGGTCTTGGGGCAGGCAGTACCTACCTGCCAGATGACCAGCGGGCAGGAAGCTGCTGTGATGGGTGGAGGGTCCGAATGGGCTGGTGGTGGGGTGGGCGGCACCTGACAGAAGAGGCAGCCAGCTGACCAGGACCTCGTACCCCTGCAGCTGCAGTCTTAGACCCTGGAGTCCTGCTGGCAGCTGAGGGGTCTGCAGTCTCGTTTATGGAGGTGGGGGGGGGGTACCAGCTTCCCTCCAGGAACCTCTGCCACCCAATCTCCCATCCTAACCCCAACTCTGCGGTGAAGCACATGACCAGGCTTGCCACAAGAGGTGGACTTGGACCGCTAAGGAGGACAGAGGGCCAAGACACGGCATAGAAAAGGACCCGGAGACTGTGCTGTGATGGAACCGGTCCCAAAGCCAGCTAATAAGTGGCGCTGTTTGCCTAACACAGAGGCCTGGACTTTCTGTCCTGATGGACCAGGTGAGTTCAGAGATTGAAGGCAACACCACTCCCTATGCACTCCACAGGGCCCAGGCTGCAGGACACATGATGTCCCCGGCAGCCCTGGCTCCCCGATTCTGAGGCACCCCTGGGGCCAAGCGCCAGAGATCAGCTGGGTGGAGGGGGGCACTGACCCTTACAAGGAGCAGTGGAGAAAGATATAGTTGTGGCTGTCAAGTCTGAGGGCACGTGCCCTGCTCTGGTCCAGAAGCAAAGACAGGAGGGTCCCCGTCTCTTCTGTCAGTTCGACTTCCTCCCGGGCTTAATCCTGGAGGACCATCGCCAACGGCACCGTCCACATCCCCTCCCAGCCTCCCACTGTGGATAGCTGGGCACACCCAGCCATCTGGTCTCCCCCCAGCTCCCAGACGGAACAACTCCAGCCTCTGTAGATTTAAACACACTGCCAAACGTGCCACAACAAAAATCAGAAAATGGTTTGACCCTAGTGCTAATGAAAATACAGGGGGGATCTGAATGTGTGGTGGGATGCAGCCAGCAAGCTCAGAGGCACTTAAACTCTACGGTTGATTGGAGGGCAGTGGGAAGATACTGAAGACTTAACATTGTAAACTTGAGAAGACAGAACAAGGCCAGCAAAGTGAACACAAAGCAGACGAAAGGAAGCAGAGCTAACAGTTTCTCTTCAGATGCTAAGAAGAGATGGACCTCTGGCAAGACCGATGAAGGGCAAAGGCGCTGAAGGCACAGCTAAGCAATTCTAAGAGGCACTGGGACCCACAACATTTACACTGTAAGAGGAAATGGGGAACACGCTGATATAAACAGATATAGAAAGGTACATTAACTCAATTCCTAAAAGAATTCAAGCTATAAAACAGACTAAAGAGATAGAAAGCTTAAACAGTCCTGTAGCAAACATACAACCCACCAGTATAAACTACTAGGGCAGGAAGCTTAAAAGGCGAGTCCTACAAAGTCTTCAAACTAAGGATGACTTCAATCTCAGAGAACAGAGAAAAGGTAAGCTCCTAAGTCATTAAGAGGCGGACACACCCGACCACAGAACCAGCCAGGATGCAGCAGGAAGGGAAATGCAGGCCACACACTCGGGAAGTCAACTGTGAACAGAACATCGGCTGAGTTACTCCAAGATCGTCCAGGTTGGGCTTCTCCTAGGAACGTGAGAGATTCAAGGTGAAAACCAGTATGATGCAATTAACAGGTGGAGAGAAAGAGTGCCCCAGAGTCCACACCAGACATGACAGGCAGTACTATCCACTCCTCCAGAGAAAGGCCCCCCTTTGAGACCAGGAGCAGCCATGAGCCCTGGGGTCACAGTTTCTCCTCCAACTTGTACTGGTGACCAGTAAGAGAAGGAAACTGAAGCCTCTGGGTTAGGATAAAGAAAAACAACTATTGTCATTGAGGTGTGACTATCTAAATAAGAAATACAAAGCAATCCACAAATAACTTGTTTGCATTAACAAGGACTTAACAAGATTGCTAGGTCTAAAATCAACATGCAACATACCAACTGTCAACCAAAGTCAATATGCATTTCTACCCTCTAGCAACGGCACATTAGAAAGTGTAATTTTCAAGATGCTAATCACAACATAAAACATACAAAATATCTAGGAATAATTCTATTAAGATGCAAATAAATGGGCAGATTTACCATATTCATGAATAGCAAGATATGACCATACAGATATGAATTCTCTTCAATTCCAATAAAACCCCCATGAAGTGACTAATTATGAGAGAAGACTTAAGCTTTTTATGGAAGGGCAAGGTGAGAATCTACCCACCACACACCAAGACTAGCTGTGAGGCCCCCACATGTGGGCACAGGATCATGGAGTGGCATCTGTGGAAGGGCATTAGGCTGGGGGTGAGGTGGGAGTGGAGCAGAGAGACCGTGGATTCCGTGCTCCAGCTGGAGTGACGCCCTGGTGCCTGTGGGGCCAGGTGACAGGGGTCCTGTGGTGAAGGGACAAGGTCCCACCCCCACTACAACCAAACCCATGTCACGTGATATGGGTGCCATGAATGAAGCAGCCCTCTGTGGGGAGAGTCTGTGGAGGCCCAGATGGCCATCACACAAGGGCCACTACCAGGTGGCCCCTGCCGGTGACAGGGACCTACATTCCTGGTGGGCCCATCATCCCCTATGAGGTAGCTCCCTCCCTCTGCCTGGACTGTGGGGACCATCTGTTTTCTCAGGAAGGACGGTGCCAGGTGGTGGAGCCCAGGTCCAGCTCTAATCACCCTGGGTGCCGAGTATCTGACGAGCATGTGCCGCCATGCCACAGGGCACACCATCAGTGAGGGAACGAGTGCCCTGTGTGAGACACCACACCGTAGGGAGAGGACCCTGCTCCCCACTCCTGGTGCTCTGTGCACTTGCGCCGTGATGAACTGCAGCCATGTGACAACCACACGCTGAGCCCTGCAGTCCTCCTAGCAGAACTGAGGGTGGTCTTGGGGGTCGGGCCCAGGAGTGAGCTCAGAGGGGCAGACAAGCGTAGCTGTGGTGGACTCGGAGGGCTGCCCTTCAGAGAAAAGTCAAACACCCCTCCAGAGAGGGAGGCTAGGCTGGGAGAGTGAAGAGGAGGCCCATGTGAGGGTGGACAGGGCATCTGAACAGGAAGCCTAGAGGGGGCGAGGCTGGCATGTGACGGGTGGGGGGTCAGGGCAAGGACTTCAGGTGTGATGGGTGTGACTGCTGTGTGAAGGCAGGCAGTTTTGGGCAAGGACCTTGGGTGTGACGGGCATGTGAGGGCTGGGTGACTGGGATCCCGGATGTGATAGGTGAGGGACAGGCGGTCAGGGCGAGGCCCTGGGCATGATGGGTGAGGTGCAAAGGTCAGGGCAAGGAGCCCCGGCTGGGGAGCAGGGCTACTGACGCCACGTGAGGGTAGCGGACACCCGCATGGACTCCACCCCCCACCCCTACCCTCTGAGGCTCAGATGGCTCCAGGGAAAGGCCGAAAGAGACCCCCGGTCACCGTACAGAAAGCAAAAGAGGCCCTGCTGAGCCAGAACATCCCCCGCCCTAGCACAGACAAAGGTCAAAGGGCAGGAAGCGTGCCCTAGCAGCCAGCATGCCCTCCAAAGGCCTCACCAGTGCTGGAGAAGAGGGGCCGCGCCAGGTCTTGCGGGTAGTGGAGACCGGCAAACACTCCTGGGGCTGGGGGCCGACTGGACAGGTCCAGCTTGGTGCCCATCTCTGGCTTGTGGGGGTCCAGCGGCATCTGCTGAGGGACAGCGCAGTCCACGTGCTGGCCTCGTCTTGCTGGCTCGGCCCTGCCCCTAGCACTCCCCTCCCACACGGTCCTCGGATTCTGGAGCCACCAGGCCTCACGCCTGCCCAGCCTGGGATGGTGACGTGACAATGCAGCCCACCTTTATCTTCTGCTGCTGGTGGTAGATCTGCCAGGCAATCTGCACGTGGGCCGCACACCACTTCCCTGGTTTCTGCCGGGACAGATGGGGACGCGTTCTGCAGGGCACACAGCCCCACCTCCAGCTGACCCTGCCCACTGTCCCCAGCCCTGCCAATTTCTGTCCTCCCAGGGAAGGCACAAGGACACATGTGCTCATACGTGCACACATACAGCCATGCACTCACATGTTCACACATGTACTCTCACACATGAACGTGGGTATGGACAGATGCACACACAGGTATACACAGACGAGCACACACAGACATGCTCACACACATGTAGCCACACACACTCACATGTATTCTCACACATGCATGTGGATATGAACAGATGCACACAGTGTACAGAGACAAGCACACAGACATGCTCACACACATGTAGCCATGTACTCACGCTCCCATGTGTACTCTCACATGTGTGTGGATACAGAGATAGATGCATAGGTGTACACAGACGAGCACACACAGGTATGCTCACACACAGCCACATGCTCACATGTGTACAGACGAGCACACACAGGCATGCTCACACACACAAAGCCATGTACTCACAGTTACACATGTAGTCTCACACATGCACACACAAGTCTACAGACGAACACACATAGATATGCTCACACACACGTAGTCACATACTCACACGTTCACACGCGTACGTACCCTCACACATACTCATGGACATGCAGAGACACACCCACATGCTTACCCTGACCACCGCCCGGTAATGATCCGACACCTGTGGACACAGGGAGAACAAGGTGACCGTCCCTGCAGTTGGCAAAGCCCCACGAAGGAGGGGAAGGGGCAGAGACTGTGCCCCGACGCCCTTCTCCTGTGGCTCTCCCAGGGGTGTGTGTGTGGTGTGGCTCTCCCAGGTGTGTGTGTGGTTCTTTGTGGGCTGGGAGGGAGTGCAGCCCCCACTGTGGCCAATAATGCCAGTGTGTCCACCTGGGACAGGGTAGGCAGGACTGACACCTACCGTGGGGGCCTTCTGGAGGAGGGTGTGGACAGCACTGGCCCGGCCTGTCACTTCAATGGGACTGGATGTCTAGCAAGAAAGGGGGGTGTGAGGCCCCTTCAGGGGCCAGGCAAGGGCAGAGACCACCTTCCCAGGACCCCCACGCCCTCCACACACTGTCAGAGGATGTGTCCCCACCCCCCAGGTCCCTGCAGCAAGTGGGCACCCAGACTCCCCTCCATAGCCCTGGGCCTGACAGGCACAGCCCCCTCCATGGGCCTCGCCAGCTGTGCCCACCCGTTGGAGTGGCTGGTACCTTGGGCTGGAAGGCGCCCTGCAGGGACCCAAAGGGCCCCGGATGTGGAAGCAGGGTGGGCATTCCTGCGACGGCTGGAGGGTAGGATGGGAAGAACTGCAAAGAGTGCACAGCGAGTGAGGAGCAGGAACGACCCCACAGACCCGGGCCCGTGGCCACATGGTGCCCTCCCTGTCCCTTTCTGCCCCCATTCTGAGAGGAACGCAGGGCTGACCGACCCAGCAACAGCCCCTCGAGGATGACTCAGGCCAAGTGGTGAGGTGGGGAGAGCCCAGAGCCCGGCGACCCCTCATCATTCCCTGACCCCAGCACCTCTGGAGCCCCCCACCTAGCCCAACGCCAGAACACAGGGCCGCCAGAGAGTGTTGGGCCACCCACACTCACGCTGGAATGTCGGAAGTAGGGGCTGTCCAGCTTGGGGGCATATTTGTCAAACTGTGAGGGAAGAAAGATGGGGTCAATCCTCCCACCCCACACAGCGATGCCCTCTGCTCAGCCCAGACTCCTCACCCCTGCACCCCATGCCGGCTGGGCTGTGGGCAGGCACCACTGTGTGTGGCCAGCAGTCAGCCATCCCCTGGCCCAGCCCCCAGCTCCAACCCTCTGGCCCAGGATGCTGTCCCTCCCAGTGGTGTCCCTGCAGGGGCAGGACCCACACCCATGGGTGGCAGAGCAGCCAGCCGGTCGAGGAGTCTGGCCAGACTATGGTGGGCGTGGAGCCCAGGCTAGTCACCATGTGCAGGGAGACACATGCCAATACGTGGCCAGCTCCTGGCAACACTGGGTGGGCACTTGGCTCGCAGGACGTGGTCTCAGAGGCCAGGGAGACTGGGGTCAGGGTCCGGTGTCTCTGGGAGCCTCCTGGCCCATCTGGGCTCATGTAGCCCTGGATCCTGTCCCATGTGACCCCGAAGGAGATGGGGAGCGAGGCAGCCCCCACCGTGCCACTCAGCATGCCCAGCAGAGGCACTGAGGCTGGGAGACCGAGCGGGCCGCCGGCCGGCCTGTGATGCGTGCGTGCGTGGAAGTGCGCAGTGCCCCGCCCCCACTACGCACCGGCGGGGGTGCGGCGGGCGGCAGGAGCGGCGCTGGGGGCAGCCCCGGCGGGAAGGGGGCGAATGAGTGTTGGTGCTGGTGCGTGTGCTGGTGCGTGTGCTGGTGCTGGTGGTACTCCGCCCGCAGCGGCGCCCCCGGGCCCAGGGCAGCCCCGGGGCGCGCCGAGCTCTGGACCAGGAAGCGCGTGTTCAGCTCTTGCCTGAGCAGTTCCTGATCTACGAGAGAAGAAGAGAAAGAGACAGAGAGGCGTGTCGGCCGCGGGCTCCCGGGGGGCGAGGCGGGTAGTCACCTGGCACTCCCGGTCTCGGCAGGCCCCGCCGCGGCGGCCGCTGGCCAGGTGCGCACTCAGGGGTGGAGGGAAGAGGGGGGCCTGTGACCAAGTACCAATCAGAATCCCCGAGGGAGGCTGGCAGTACATGATTGGTGGGCTGAGGGAGATCAACAGGCTGGCATCTGGAGACAGAGAGAAGACCGTCACCCACTGCCCGCCACTGTGCGGCCGCCGTGGGCCCTCATGGGGGCCACTCGACGGCACCAGCTCTACCACAGGCATGGAGAGGCCAGGCAGGGGTATGTGCTCAGACCACGTGGTGTGGCCCTGCGTGCTGAACCCAGCAGGCCTTGGTGGCACTGACACTGGGGGAGGGGACCCTTGCTGCCCACCAGCAGGCTGGGCCCACCTGCTGGACACCACAGGACAGAGCAGACCGAGGCCAGGGAGGCCCTGGGCACAGGGCATACACGTGTCTATGTACACATGTGCCAATGTGTGCACGCAACCACCAGTATGTACGTGTGAGTGTACACATGCATGTGTTTCTGTGCATATGGTTATGCATGTGTGTGCACGCACATGTGATTACATGGGTATATACGCACACATGCACCTGTGTGCCCAGATGTTTCTGCACTTATAGCTATGCACCTGTGTGTGCACGTCTGCACACATCCGTGAGTGTGTGTATAGCTACGCACCTGTCTGTATGCGTGTGCATGTGTACATGCACATTTGTGAGTGCATGTATGCTTTCCTGCATTAGCAGGTGTGTACATGCTTACATGTACATGTGAGCATGCATACATCCATGAGCACGTGTGCATGCACACCTGTGGGGAGGACCTGCACACGGGCCAAAAGCCTCCTGGGAAGAGGTGGCCTGGTGTGGGTGCAGAGCATGAGCAGCAGGGACACTTACAGAACCCGGTCCCCACCCGGTCCCACCCTGCCCGCCCTCCTCCTGGGGGATGCTCAGTGGGGCCCCAGCAGCAGGGTCAGGGGCAGACGGCGCAGGGACCTACCGGCCGGGTGCCCTGGGAGGACCAGACTGTTGGTGGGGAGCGCCGGGGGAGGGGGCAGTGTCGGGGGGGCTGCGAACATTGCCGCCGCGGGGTGCTGGTGCTGGGCCCGCAGCGTGAAGTGCGAGGTAGACAGGTTGGAGCTGGGCAGGGCCAGCGTGGGGCCCGGCCCGTGAGGCGACAGGGCCACGTTCTTCAGGAGGCTGAGGCCAGGGCCACCAGTGGCACTGCTCCTGCTGGGGGTGGGGCGGGTCACTGCAGGGCCAGCACCCCTCTCCTCGGCCAGTCCCCCGCCCACCGCGAGGCTGGCCCTACCTGAGGCTGGGCAGGCTGCTGTGTGTGGCCTGGCTGGGGCCCGGGTAGGTGCCCAGGGAGAGAGGCACGTGTGTGGGGAGTGGGGCCCGGGGCTGGGGAGGCGTGGGTGGCGGCAGAGGCTGTGGGGTGAGGCGGGGCAGGGCAGGGGCTTCCTTCTTCACCAGAGGGCTGGCCCGCGTGCCTGGTGGGGGCCCCGATGGGGGCACAGTGGCGGCAGCGGTGGTGGCCGCAGGGGCTGCCGTGGGGCTGGGCACAGAAGGCAGAAAGGGTGTCTCGGTGCTCAGCTCACGGCTGCGCTCCAGCCCCGAGACCCTGGGAGCGGCCACAGCCTTGACCTCCAACTTCTCCCCCAGTGGGGGGCCTGCAGTGGCAGGGAGGGGAACAGAGATGGGTGATGTGAGTGGGGTAGCCCTCACCACCCAGAGCCCCCTGCCCGACAGTGGGCTCAGTTGCCCCAGGCACCACTTGCCCAGACGCCAGCAGCCAAGAATCCAAGTGTGCCAACCACTGAATGGTCCCATTCCGACAGGGCTCCCCGTTGGTAGGTGGTGCTGGGTTGGTCTGACTCATGGAGACCGTCCGGACAACAGAACGGAGCTGCCCCACCCTGTCCCCTTCTCCCAATCTTTGCCACGCTTGAGCTCATCGTTCCCGCCGCTACCAACCCATCTCGCTGAGGTCCTTCTCTTTTGCTGACTCTCCACTTCACCCCACCTCCAGCGGGGGCCTGCAGAGCTGCCTCAAGCAGGACTGGCACCCCACCCATCCCGACCACACAGTAAGCCTGGCCTTGCCTAGCTGACCAGCTGGGGCACCTGCAGGAAGGTGCCCTGGGCCGGAGTCCGAATGAACACTGACGACCACTCTGACGCAGCAGCAGTGTTTGGACCCCATCAGTGGTGGAGGGGAGGGAACCTGCATTTCCTACAACCCCCGGGGGCTCTGGGGGACCTGCTGTGCACCCTCCCACCCTCCCCTGCCCTGCGTGCCTGGCTGTTCCCCATCGGTGCACCCTTCACTGCCCAGAACCCACCTGGGGTCCTGGGGGTACAAGTTCACGTGCTCACACAGGCCCATATACACATGGCAGGCCCCTGGCTGGCAGTGCCCTGCCCCACACTGGCCACCCGGAGCATGTGTTCGTCACCAAGACGACAGGCCTGCCCTCCATAAGACCAGGGCCCAGGCCCAGTGAGGCACATACCTCTGTCGGCTGCTGGCGTAAAGAGCTTGTCTGAGCCCACCGACGCCTGGAAGAGAGAGAAGAATGAGATGCTGGCAGGGTGGTGAGGTGGGCTCTGCTGCCGTGGGCAGCCAGAAACACACAGGGGTGAGGGGAGCTACGCTAACAAGGACCTTCACGCCCACCAAGGGCGACGTGAGCAAGACAGTGGGACACGGCACCATGGAGAGGCCCCTCTCCCCACACTCGGGCTGAAACGGCATATACAAGCCTCTCTGTGTGTAAAAGGGACCAGGGACTGCCCAGGGTCCCCCAGCCACATCTGGGTTGTCAGGCGTGCACATCTGCACCACGGACCCTGAGCCAACAGAGGGAAGGAACAGCTGACAATGGGTGTGTGTGTGTGTGTGTGAAGTTGTACAGTGTACCTCTTCCTTCCTCCCAGCCGCAGACATACCCATGTCAGGGGAACCATGGGGGAGGGTCCTGCATTTTTTGGGGGTAGGGAAGCCCTTTGAAGCACATCACAAACCCCTGTCCAATAAAGAAAAGATGTGACACTGAGCCGTGTAAACCCTGCCTTCCCTGTCACAGCACCCACAGGAGCTGGGAGAGGGCTTGGCTCCAGCCAGGCGAGCCCGTGAGGCTCACACACCAGCCCGGAAAGAGGTGCCCCCTTGAGGAGCCATAGCAATCCCCCCAAAACACAGGCCAAATGCAAGGGAGGCCAGTGGGAGGAAAGGCAGTAACAAGGCCCCCCTCTGCAGACGGCAGAGTTCAGAGCACCTGAGGGGCCCTGGGGGTGAACCAGACAGACATTCATAGCTGGCCTATCCTCAAGGAAGGGCAGGCAGGGCCTGAGGACACAGCGAGTCATGACAGTGAGGGCGGAAATGCCCCCCCATCACCAATGGACGTGGCTCCCATCCTCAGCCAGCGCCAGAACTGCTGGACATATTGCTGCAGGTAGGTGCTCAAGGTGCACCCACCACCACACGTGTGTGCAGTGGGCCACTCCCATCCAGGTACCACGGGCTGCTTTGGGACTGCAGTGCATGTCATCTCCTCCGGGTGTGTATCTTGTGAGGGGTATCTGCTGCGCACCCCAAGTCTGCTGAAGGGCAGGGACAGGCTGGAGGTACAGGCAGAGTGGAGAGTAATGGGGGAGCTGGCAGAGAGGCCCAGCAGGGTGGGGGGCAGTGCTCCAACACCTCCCCCAGCGTCGGCACACAGCAGCCAGGAGCGCTTTATAAACCAACCAGAACCAGACACTCCCCACGGTCCTAACCCAGAGCCCCAACCTCTTCCTGCTCTGACCTGCCCCCAGCTTCCCACCCGTACCACGCCCCTCTGTGACCACACCCCACACCCACTCCTTCTCAAACAGGGCACCCCAGCACCAGTGGCACCTAGGTTTGCTTTGCTCCTCATTCTCTCTGACTTAACCTGCCCTCCTCCTGCCACACCTCCTCCATGAAGCCCCAGAGCTCCGCATCCTCCCAGCAGCAGTGTCCTGCTGGGTTCAGCAGGACGCATGGGAACCGCCTGCTGCTCACGCACTCAGGCAGGGACACGGAGAGTGGCATCGGAGGGGTGAGATTTGGCCTTGATCCGCCCCCTGGTGGAGGGAGTCGTTCAACGGTTACACGGCACCCCACTGCTCCAGGAAACCCAAACGTGTGTATTCTGGTTCACTTCCACACCCGACAGGCGCACTGGGCTCCCAGAGCCACCAGGCGGCGCCGTAGAACCCGGGAAAAGTCCATCCGAGCCTGCCGGGAAGGAGCTGGAGCGGAGAGCGGAGCCTCGGAGGAGTGCTTCCTTGACCCCACCCGGACCCGCAGGTCCCCAAGCTTACAGCTGACCCCTGGGAAGTGGAGGCTGGGATCCCAGGGTCGGGCTGGTGCTCACGGACCACCGCCCAGTGCGCGGGCCGGCCACGCCCCCGAAGGCTCGGCAGCCACCTGCAGGAGCCCAGGCGCCCAGCTCCGGGGTGCAGGCTCCAGCCCCTTCAGCGGCGCAGGCAAGAGGCGCGCTGCCAGGAGCGCTGAGCCCGAGCGCGGGGTTTCCTCTCAGGAGTGAGCGCCCTCGGGGCTGGCGGACAGCCCCGGGCGGCAGCGCCGAGCGGCTCCAGAGCCACGCTTGTAAGTTCCCGGGGTAGTCCCTGAAGCTACAGGGGCGTGATGGGGTGCGCGCAGCCACATCGGTCCCCACTCCAGGCATGGGGCCAGTGTTGGTGGGAGGTCCGGGTGGGCTCCGGCTCTGATGGAGGCGTGTCCTCAGGGACGGTGGCAGCGACGGCCGCGCTTTGTCTGGGAGGCCCCGACCCGGGGCAGGCCGGGCCAAGACCCAGACAAAGAACTCCGACTCGGGGCAGGTGAGCGCGCCCCCGGGGCCGGCGGGCGCACACCCGTGCCCGGCGCGAACAAAGGCGCGCCCACCGCCGCCGCCGCCCCTTGCAGGGCCCGGGAGCCACGTGCGCTGCGGGCGCGCTCGGGGGACGCCGCGGTCCCCGCTCACCCCAAACCTGGAAGACTCGGCGTGAGCGAGCCCGAGCTCTCCCGCTCCCCGCGGGACACGGGTCCCCAGGTCCCCATGCCCGGCCAAAGCCCGCACTCACCGCGCGGGCCCCGGGCGCCGTGGTCCGTCGCGCTCTGCGGGCGACAGTCACTCACGCTCTGGCCGGAGCCGGGCGACATGGGCGCGGGCGGCGAGGCGAGGCCCGGGCAGCCCCAGACCGCTCGGTCGGTCCCGGCGGCCGGACCCTCCGGCGCGCGCCCTGCTAGCCCGCTCCTCAGCTCGTGGCGCACGGGCCGCGCATCTGCA